TTATAAGATGTCATATTTAAGATATATTAAATAATGCATACAAAATTACTCAGGGAGATGTTTGGCACATAATGATCATCAGCAAATATTATTTCTTTTACTCTCTTGGTGAAATCAATAATAGTTACAAGGGAAAAGAAAACAAAAAAGAGAAGAAACTATTGGGTTGTCAGAAAAGTCATGGCATATTTTTTCTGTTTTTTGTTGCAAAAATGGGTCATGACTTTTCTGACAACCTAATATTTTAGGGTAATAGTAAGCTAAATTGAACTAAAATATGGACTACCAATAACCCATAAAAACTATGAATATATAAAACTTCAATGAAGGCACAGTGAATGTCAGAAAACAAAGAACTAATTGAGACTCTTAACAGTTCAGATTTAATAAGTAATAAGTCTTAAGAAAATAAACTAGAGATTTCTCTCAGGGAGGGTTAGTGCAATTATCTTGAAGTAATATGTACATGGAGTCTAAAAACCAAGTAATTGATATCAAAAATCAGAGAAGAGCCTGGTCTACTTAATTACCATCAATGTGGTTTTGAAGAGATTACTTAATATTAGTAATATTAATATTAGTGTCTTTCAGTGGAAAATGGAGGAGATGGTTATTTCCAAGCATTCAGATAACTATGTAAATGCAAGTTACTGTCATCAAAGTACAAAAACTAAACACAAATTACTACCAACTCATTTTTAAAGGCATGCCAAAAACAAAACAAAACAAAACAAAACAAAAACCTATAACAACTTCACTAATGATTTTATTCTTAGAAATGTTACTTCTTATCACTTGTTCCAATCCATGGCACCCCCCTAGAAACTGTATCACACTCCTTTCATACACACTTTAATCAGGATTCCCAATTTATTTTTCAGTGTCAATGACTCTGAAGCCATTTTTTTCTTTTTCTTCCCAAGGGCTGGCATATCAAACCTCTGAAGAATAAAGAAAGGGATAATATAAAGGGTAAAGGAATTAAACAGCTAATTTCTAAAAATCCTTGCTCCCAATGAAAAGCCAACCTTTTGTTTTTTTAGCAATGCAGAACAGACTGATTTGTGACAAATATTAAAAATCAACCTTAACATAATACAAAGTAATTGAGACTGTCTAGTGAAATTATCTTGATAGTATTCAAGAGATGATTAAAATTTACTTCTAAATTTCAAACAAAAACAATTTGTATTTTTTTCCTCCATCTCAAAGTAAAATAACAAATAAATGTATTTTTAGTAAATACTTATTGAGTCCTATTTTTTGTGTTATTCTGTATGTACTGGTAGCGAGACACAGACATATAAAATTAAATCTCTAACCTTAATAAGTTTCTAAACTCTTAATAGTTAGAAATAATACACACATGAAGAACGACTAGTGTCAAATAAAGTAAATGCTCATGAAGATGACTGAAGAATTTGTGTGTAAGAATATTCCACATATATCCCGGGGAAAAAGTAAACTTGAGAGACAAATCATAAAATTACCCAGAAATCAAAGGCATCTCAAATTGAACACTTGAAAGTTCAGGGACTTTATACATTAAAGCAGGTTGAGGTAGGTGTTCCACCTGTAAACAAAGATATGATTAGTCTTCGCTTCCACTTCCCTCAGTCCTCACCCTTCTGGAGTTTGAAACTACTTCTAACTTAAACTCTTTCTGTTTTAGCTTGTTATGAAAAGAACAGAGCTGGATATTATATGCAGTGCTCATATTAATTGAAGAAAAGGGAGAGAGAATAGAAGGAAGCAATAGAGGGAGAGAAGGAAGAATTACTAGTCAGTGGCTATTGAGTTGGATTTTGAGATCTAAGAAAGCCACTTCAGGAGAGGGTTTAAAATCCACAGGAGGAAAAATATTCCTACTACTCAGGAAATCTCCTGTCTTCTTAGCCAACCATCACCCTGTAGCAACCTCTCCTCAAGACAGTGTGGTATAATGGAAAGGCAGGGGCTTTGGAATCTGACAGACCTATATTCAAGCCCTAAACCTCTATTTAAATGTATAGACCCGAGTAACACACACACATACACATACAGACACACACACACACATACCCCTGCCATGAGTTCCAGAGGCCAAGTGCCTTCATTTGAAATCAGTCTTAACGATACCCAGCTCAGCTCATGGGGCTAGAGTATGGTTAAATGTCACAATGAATGTAAGGCACTTAGCACTAAACTTGGGCTTTGTGGAGTGACCCCTATAGTGCCAAAGCGCTTCCCAGGAAACTTGTGCCTCCTGAGGACCTTCGATACAGAATCCTAGAACACCATCCAAGAGGAGATCAGAAGCTCAAATTTACTTTGTACAAGTCTTATGCACAGGGCTTCTAAGACTTCTGGGTAAGATCAGCGACTACAGTGCTGACTGCACCCATTCAACCTACACATGTTCCAACCTGCCAGGGTCTGGGACCTGCACAAACTACCTCTTCTCCTGAGACACATCATAAATTGATGAGTTTCAGCTTGGCATAAACCTGTGTGTATTAAGTTGATTCTGTAATTCCTGGATACATTCATAACTGTCCTATTATAAAGAATGATTTTAGTATCTATTATTGTGGCCTCTCTTAAGAGCTTCTATACTCCAAAAAGTTTTAAACTTTAGTTTATTTCCATTTTTCTACCTTTTGTTTCTCTTTTCTGGTTGTATTTTTAAAGACTCACTCAATTTCATTTCAAATTAAGAGTAAAACATACTGGTCATACCCTAAAACTACATTTTTTATTTCAAACAAACACAGCCTTTTACTTTAACAAGTATTTCACAGAACTTATTCTTATATAGATGAGTTTATCACAGTTTTAAAGGTGCGAACAACCATACAATCACAGTGAAAAGTTTACTGATTTATAATGACAAGAAAAAGTATGATTTATGTTCCACAGAACACAGTGGTTAAAAGCAGAATAGAAGATTATTTTTGGGGAAAAAAAGGTATGTTAATTAATGCCATCTTTAAAGTATCTTGTGGCATCACTAAAGAGAAGAAAATAAATTGCCAATATGATTTCAGCCAAGGGAAACAACAGTTCTTTATTGTCCTACACTTTCTATTCCTTATACTGCCTTTTTAAATATAAATCACAATGAATCATCTCAGCTGGTTATTTTAAAAGGTTAAATAAACAAAGATGCATGTAGGGGAATGTCGGAGCTAGTGCACTATTGATACTCAAATAATCTAACATTGATTTTACAATGCATAGATAAATATATATTATTTAAAGATGAAATAACCAGAAGACAGCGGATAATTATGTCTAAACTGAATACAACAAAAATCTTTTGTTGTTGTGTTTTTTGCAAAGATTCCAAAGTGGCATGTTTACAAGAATTAGGTTGGTGACTTTTTAGAAAATAGAAACTCATTCTAAAGATTATCTGGTATTCTGCCAATTATCCAAAGACCCAGCTAGCCAAGGCAGATGAAAACCTAGCAAGACTTTCAACATATTGCATAGAATGGGTCCATCTGACCGGTGCAGAAACTAAACCAGGCTCTTTCTATGGCCCACAGATGCTGCACTGTGTTATATTTGCAACTGCATGATGTGGTTATTGGCTGCTTTGGAAGAGTGAGCAAAAGCTTTCTTGAATGAATTAGATTCACATGGGGTTTATTTCTATCCCTCTCCTCCTGAGGCAGAAAGCTGGAATTGTATATGTGTTAACACATGTGAGTTTAATTATGTTTGACCAAACCAAGAAACAGAAAAAAGGAAAAAGACTTGGATAAAATGAATCAACATAAGGGCAAGGGTACTCTATGCTCCATTAAAGCCATGATTAAAAGTATCTGGGAAAATAAAGAAAAAAAAAGAAAACTTTAAAAGGATTGCCAGGGAGGTGATGCTCATATAATAACAAACTACAGTGCTATCCTGCCATGGACACAAGGTTTTATCCTACAAATAACACTTAGGGAAAAAATTCACAACATAATAAATAATCACTTTGATGGAAAAGTAGGAAAACTTTTGTCACTAACACTTCAATTATGGTCGCAGTACATAAAACGTAGGCACTGAAAAGAAAACTTTAAAAGAATTTGGATGCAGTACTTGGAATAGGGAAGGAAATAATAATCACCAAAGGCAGCTACATGAATAGCAACAAACTGTGAAGATGGGAATAAACAAAAAAAAATGAAGTATAATTCTGAGGAATACAAGAGGGATAATGTGCTTAGGATAATAATTAAGGGATATTATACAATAAAAATATGAGTTCAAAGAGAAATGGGGGGAAAAAACAACAGTTTGAGGAGACAAACACAGACAAAGTAGAGACAATCAGATTTCCTTACAGATGCAGCTGTCTCAAATCCTTTTTTGAGACTAGGCATGGAATATCAATAAATAAAATACAACCTTTAATATGGTCAGAATCCTTACAAAAATATAATGGAGCTTGATACTAAACATATTTTTAGGGAATTGTACTCAAGGGTTGGCCAATCTATTACCAATTTTCTCTAGCAATTTCAGCAAGCAATGTAAGATAGTTCTCAGAGAATGATTTTGGGTCCAAGTTCTTGTCACATAAAGGTCAGTTCCAGAAATGTCAGTTCGGGTCAAACCACTAGAAAACTAGCAAGATTTAGAATTTTGACAGGACAAA